TATAACCACAGGGAAGCCATCGAAGTCACTCATACTAATGGTCATTGATTGAACTTTAACGAAAATATCACATTTGAACATTTAAAAATTGCGATATACAAGAGACACCACGCATATACGTACCAACATTTTTATTTTTGAACCACACTCATTCAATTCACAATGTTACTGCAATATAATTACTTATCATTGAACATCTGTTCTTTATGGAACTGTGCAGCTATCTGTAATGGACTCGCAAAAAATACTCAGAAATCATGTTATCAATATGTTTAACCAACTAAATGTACTATTGTAACTTTTATAATTGAGTTGACAGCAGAGGAAATTGTACAATTTCCTACAGTCAGAATAAATCTGTGTATCTGTGTATCTGTGTGGTACGTCCGAAAAAATATCATTTGCGTTCACGTCAGATTATCAGGTGGAAATCGGTCTGCTTTCGACGACCTAGTTACAGGTGGCGCTGTTGATGTACATTGCGATGTCAATCAGGTGAAGCCGAGTAACGGAGATGTGTAAAATTCTTCCATTTTTGTGAGTGTACACTTTGTTTGAAAGTTTATAGGGAAATATTACGAACCAGTGGCCTTCGAACTTGACAGATGTATTTGGAGATATGCTTTCAACCCTAGAATTAAATATTTCGTCCAAATGTGACTGATTTTGGCTAGTCCATATTCTAACAGAGGGTAAAAAGCGTTTGCAACACTACAGGTACCGGCGGCGACCCTTGACCCACAGCAGGTTGCTAACAGGGTGTCTCAAGTTGTCAAGCATGGTTAGCTTTACCATTCTACTCGTGTGTTATTTTTGGACATATTCATCTTTAATGTATAAACAGGAAACTGTACTTAAAAAATTATAGAAGAATCTGGAACAATTTTTAATTCTAACGGAAAGAAGAGTCCAAGCGCTGGTTATTGTTTTGGCTAGTAAAAAAGGACGTTAGTGTCTCAAATATTAGACAAGCCTGCCAGATCATTTGATGAGGTGAACTGTGACCTTGCTACTGACAATTACGCAAGAAGTTGAAGAACAAATATTGCTGCAATCTCATGTCATAGTTTATTATTGTTATTTTTATCGTGCAGGCGCGTAGCTTTCTAGCTATATGCAAATGAGTACACATAATTTTGATGAGTAAAAACATATTTAATATACGTGTATTTCAAACCTTTATAAAGTAAAGTAAAAAAAATAAAAAAAATCGCAATAAATACGTTTCCTAACTTTTTTTCCCAAATTAAAATCAGGTACATAAATTACGTCTGCTTAAATCTAATCGCCAAATTTCAACAAAACACGAGAATTTGATCCAGAGACCTTGAATTCAAAAACTTTCCTTTGGGAGGCCAACCCCCAACTGGGTCTCGCACCCCCCACTAATTGTGCTACACTTATCATAAAAGCAATTAAGCAATTAACTTTAAACCGTAGTTTCTCCCACCTGTGTTTAACACCTGCCAATCAAACTGTTTTGATACAATGGAAAGTACCTTACCTGGACGACAATACAATATACCCCCGCCCCCCTCCAAACAGGTGTGAAACTCTCGGTACCTGCTTTTCGCCTTGTTGTTGTCTCCGATTGATACACACGGAATAAAATAAGATTAGGTAACTTGAAATTAGCGAAGTCCATGTTACAGGTAGGAGAAACCATATTAAACATTTATTTAAAGTGTAGACTTGTAAGGACCAATATTTTCATTCTGTTCATCATTTCATACAACCGTCTTTTATATTTTTCATTTTTATGAACACAAAAAAAAACCCCACGAAAATTTGGGGAATTGATTGGACGGCACCTCGACGATATACACCATCTAATCAGTCGCATGATGCGGTGTATTGCGTAAGCTCCGCCCATTATGACAGGAGGGCTACTGTGATGAGGTGTGATTGACGTTTCAGACCAACCAATAATTTTGGGTGATTTCACAGTGCAGGGACAGTCGGCTAAACTTATGTTGATAAGTTAACTGTGATATCATTTTATACAATTTATACTAAACGGAGACACTTATAATGATGTGTTAATTAACGTACCGGTCCTTTTCAATTATAATCTAGATTGTTTAAAGGGGAAATCGTGTAATCCGACACACTTGCACATCGTAAATGTTGCCCCAATATACGTCTATTGGACAAAGACGAAATGTTTATCACGTTACAAGACAATGCTACTTTATATTAAGCATAAATGGGTAATTTTAAATAGATCTCGTGGAACTCGTTTCTTTTTAAATATCCACTACAAGACGGGTTTCCCCCCCTAGTATGTGCTGGCGTTATTTCTTTTCCGTTCGGGAATTCAAGTAGCGCTTTTTGTTCGGTGTGCCGATTGTAAATGTACATCTGTGGTACCGTAGACAGGAACAGCGGCCACAGCAGACACATGCAACTAACCACTCTAAGCCAAATTCTGTAAATAAACATGTTTTTAAATTTAAAAAACCTTGGTTCACGAAGGACTGTAAGTCTGCGCGCCAAAATTATAGAAAAGCCAAACGATTATACAAAAAGTTTGGTAATGCTTACCTCAAAGAGGAAATGTATGTAAAGGAACGATTGTATAAAAAAACACTTAATCGTTGTGTCATCAAGCATAAGTTAGANGATTCAAGCAGCTCACGATCCAGTTTTTAGAAATCTTATACAAATGTAAATAACTTTTAAAATCTCCAGACTCCGGAGTACCGTGTACATGTGCATGTGGTGAGGGACATTGTTCCTGTTTTATTGGATACATATCGTGAATTTTAATGGACCAACCCAAATAGTGTTTTTTATGACTTTTTAATCCATATATGATATACCAATCACTCTCCAGGATCCCTGGACAGCTCCTATACGAAAGGAGGACAAGACACTACAACAAGATAAGTCGCATGATGCGGTATATTGCGTAAGTTCCGCCCATTATGACAGGAGGGCTACTGTGCTGAGGTGTGATTGACGTTTCAGACCAACCAATAATTTTGGGTGATTTCACAGTGCAGGGACAGTCGGCTTGTCCGCCTCGGTAGATTTTTCAATAAACTTATGTTGATCAGTTAACTGTGATAACATTTTATACAATTTATACTTAACGGAGACACTTATGATGATGTGTTAATTAACGTACCGGTCCTTTTCAATTATAATCTAGATTGTTTAAAGGGGAAATAGTGTAATCCGACACTTGCACATCGTAAATGTTGCCCCAATATACGTCTATTGGACAAAGACGAAATGTTTATCACCAGGGGCGGGTCCAGGTGAGGGCGTAGTATCGTAATCTGCTCATATTGTATTGAATATGGCAATTTATCATATTTATTAATTAAGCACATAAACACCATGACACTTTAACTATAAAATATACATGCTCCAAGTCAGGAACCGTTACATTAGTGCATTTCACAATTATTTTATGTTTTTTAGCAAAAAAAGTCCATTTTTTATTTGATTCTACGCCCCCTCTTTCAAATTTCCTAGAAACGCCCCTGATCACGTTTTAAGCATAAAGGGGTAATTTTAAATAGATCTCGTGGAACTCGTTCCTTTTTAAATATCCACTACAAGACGGTTTCCCCCCCTAGTATGTGCTGGCGTTATTTCTTTTTCCGTTCGGGAAATTCAAGTAGCGTTTTCTGTTCGGTGTGCCGATTGTAACTGTACATCTGTGGTACCGTAGACAGGAACAGCGGCCACGGCAGACACATACATGGCAGAAGTTATTTACTGTATTTCTCTGTCCAGACTTAATCCCCATCACCCATGAACGCGGGATAGTCGCGGAGGGCTTATCAATGTAAAGCCGGTGGTCTACCTTGATATAGCCGGCGTTTCTTCTGCGATCATCCCGCGGCTACGAGCGACAGGGATTAAAATTTGTCGCTCGCCGGGCGACTGAGTACCAAATCATCTGACGTGTACTGTACACTAACATAGTGTGGATTAAAAAAAAACCCAGCATTTCATGTAGTAAAGAAGAATAAGATTAAGAGAGAAATTTGATTCAATACATAAAACATTATATTAATCAAAGCAATTTATATCACAGTCTATTTACCTAAAAATGCTAAACCTGATTTTAACACTAAAATGGTTAAAAGTCAGTCAGCAGAGGTGCGACAGATTGAACAGCTACAGATGGGTCCACTCCAGGTCGTGGATCATTCTCATGAAACCCGGAAAGTTGTCTACCTTCCGGAACTCATTTGGGAGAGTGTTCCACACCATAGTAGCCTCAAATGTGAAAGATTTTTGTCCAAACTTAACTGTTCTAACCCTAGGCACCTCTGCTGAATTCTCCTGTCTAAGTTTATAATTTGAAGACTTAAGATGCAATCAGGAGAAAGTTTGTTCAGAACTTACATGTAAAAAAAATCTGCATTAAGATATATTACACTTTTGACCCCACAATGTGCAACACTGATTATGTAATTATAATACATATATACATATAGAAAGGCCGTAATAAAAACCACGAAATAAACAATGTAACTGAACTTGTATATCAGGTTAAATTGAAGCTTTTAAAAGCTGAAATTCATTTTCGAGAAGAAAAATAAGCAATGTGTGATTAATTATAGACCGTGAGAGGATATTACATTATGTAATATAGCATCAAAATTAATATAATATCAAAATTACCAGATTATATATATAAAAAAGAAAATAGCATTATAGATTGGAAGTGAAGTTACCTTACTTAAGAGACGTATACAATACTGGCTTTATATATGTGAATGCCTTACTCTTACTCAGTTATAAATGTTGTCATCATATATGCAAGACCTGCATGTACGCTGTAGTTATAATTACAGATTACTAGTATCATGATACGTTCTAACGTACATATACGGTAACCGTTTGAATGCAAATTTATTTATAAAACACATGGCTTTAACCTCAGTTCCATTTTAGACAGGTTGGCACTTACATGTATTATCAGATTCCTATAACAACTTTCCGGAATCCATTCCGGGTCCGGATTTAGTATGGTTGGAAAAATTAAAGATGGCGGCGAAAGTTTCAGCTGTTGGACTCTTCCTGTTACTTTTGCCGTGCTCTCTGTCAGAAGATCGTTTGATTTATATCGAAAAGGTGGTAGATGCATTGGAGAAAGTTGTCAATTACTATAAGTTGAATTATGAAGACTTGAATGTGGACGGCTTATTTGGATTGCGTGTTGTAGAGGGTAAGTGGAACTGAGGTTTATATCGAAATCCAGTCTGTTTTTAGTCCAGGTGGTAAATTATCCTCTGATGAATTCTTTAAAAAATGTAATATCCCATTTTCCACCCAGTAACCCATTATGCCAGAATTTGATATCACTCCTGTCCAAATGGCGTACAAAAACTAGGCCTACTGCAAAATTTAAACCCTACTATTATACTATAGTAAAGCAGCTGGTCAGACGAGTTGAAGCCCAAGATCTTGAATCATCTTTAACGAATCTCTTCATTCTGGCACAGTTCCCTCTGATTGGAAGTTAGCGCATGTTTCTCCTGTCTATGAAAAGGGCTCTAAATTAAATCCAGAAAATTACAGGCCAATCGCGATATATCTCTCTCACATGTATTTGTAGCAAACTTCTAGAGCACATAGTGGTCAGTAACATCATGAACCACGCTGACAAACATTACATCCTTTACCCACTCCAACACAGTTTTCGAAGGTCAGTATCATGTGAGGGTCAGCTCATTGAATTTGTTGATGATGTCAGCTCCAACATTGACAAGGGAAAACAAACGTTTTAGGTTAGTCATTCGCTTCTTTATCATAAGCTTCATCATTATGGTGTAAATGAGAAGGTTAACACCTGGATAGAAAACTTCCTGGATAATAGGAAGCAGGCTGTCATCGTTGAAGGGGGAAAATCTAGCATTGTCGATGTCAATTCAGGTGTCCCTCAAGGCTCGGTTATTGGTCCATCCCTCTTTCTATTCTATATAAACGACATTCCTGTTGGCCTCCACTCCACTGTACGTCTATTTGCAGATGACACCATTGTCTATCTTACTATCAACTCAACATCTGATGCCCAGCTATTACAACAAGATTTAGACAAACTAGCTCTATGGGAAATAGCATGGGAAATGTCCTTCCATCCTGACAAATGTAACGTCCTTTCCATCACCAACAACAAACACCCACAACATCACAAATACATGCTGCACGGAAAGGAATTAAAACACGTAGACAAAGCAAAATATTTAGGTGTCGCTATACAGTCAAACCTCAAATGGAATGTCGCATAAATAACATCTGTGGGAAAGCCAACTCCACCTTAGGCTTTCTCAGACGAAATCTAAAGATAAACTCTGCATCTATCAAGGAGCAGGCATATAAAACACTTGTCAGACCATCCCTAGAATATGCCTGCTCAGTTTGGGACCCTTATACTAAAACAGACATAAGCAAAATAGAAATGATGCAGCGTATAGCAGCAAGATTAGTCGCCAACAAGTTAAGAAACACCTCCAGTGTTGGTGACATGCTTCAACACCTTAACTGGCAATCACTTGAAGACAGAAGGAGAGTCATGACTGACCACGTCATGACTGACCACACTACACAAAACTATACACGACAAAGTCAATATAAGAAAAGACCAACTCATACCTCCATCATACACAAGACACGCACACCGGAACTCATATCAAACACTCTCATGTAGAACACAGGTACGACAACAATCCTTTTTCCCTCGTACCATAGTAGACTGGAATAACCTGCCTCCAGATATAACCTCCATTACCTCTTTTGACTGCTTTAAACGGTCCCTAAACAAAAAACAATTCTAACTCCCATACAGTCTATAACTATTCCCTTTCACTATCTTTCTTCTCTTGGCCTAGCACCCACTATCTCATGACATGATCTTCAAATAGATGAAGGTGGTCATTACTATGTAGATAGATAGATGTAGAAGTAACAGCATCGGGTGACCAGTTTCTGAGCCCTTCAGGTGAAATTTGCCGATTAAACAAATTGGGGTAACATTAAATATCAATGTGCTGTACGTTGTTTATCAACAATTGTTAGTCTTTGTTTTTACCCAGAAAGTCAGTTTGCAATCACTTTGTATACTCTACAATGACATAATTAAATCTTAAATCTTGTCGTCTTGGTGCCCTGTTTCTGTGCCTTCATCTTCATCTTTGTTCCTTCCTCCGTCAATATTGACGATTACGGAAGATTAGGTATTGTGCTGTAGTATAGTGCGTTAATTGTTAAAAATTGCATTTAAATTGCCTAAATGTATATATATATATTAGAATGCATTCTATATATATCAGCATATACTGTGATGCCTCTATATCAGGTCGAAGAAAACCACTAACTTGCATATAATACGCAAACTCACCTATTATACGCCAATTGGGGTATGAATTTGTTACTAAAATAGCCAAAATCACTTTAATCGTAACTTTTTCAAAATGTTTGTCCAAGTCGCATTTATTTAGTCATGAAACATCATACACATTTTTTTTAATGCAAATATAAAATGTATTTCCATGTAGGAAAGTACCAAAAATAGATGCAATACTTCCGGTAAAGTTACATCAAGTTTCTAAGTAGCCAACGCTTTCAGTAAACATCTTTTAGCAAAATATTGTTTACCTTGAATTGTCGTAAATAAATGTGATTTTTAATAATATATTGCAAAAGTTACTGTTCAAGTGATTTGGGTTATTTATAGTAACAAATCCATACTCCAACTGGCGTATAATAGGCGAGTTTGCGTAATATACGCAATTGGTGGTTTTCCCCAACCTGTATATAGTCCAAAAGAATGAAGTGTATCTGGAGAAAATGTTTAAAAAACCTTCTGATGTATTAGCTCAATTTCTGAATGACAAAATGTTTTATTGTAAGAGTACGTAGAAATGTCACAAGTGGTTCTCATCTTGGGGCTTGAAAAGTTGTGTCTGTTGGATCCAAGACATGATTATCAAAGCTATAGTCACGTTGGATTATTTTTTTTCCAATTAATGCACGTGCATAATAGAGTTTTTAGTACTCAGGTTACTAGTTTATGAGGATCCTTTAGCCATTACTTGCAATAACTTTGTGAAAGAGGCCCAGAAGATGTTGTCTTTATATAAAGGCTATGTTATATATAGTCCTATATACATCTGTAGGTTTTTGCACTTGAACATTCTTATAAAAATTATTTTCTCCATCAGGACAGTTAAACCTTTTGCTGCGGGAATATGAAGAACAAGGAAGACATCATAACCTGTCATCAGATATCATAACCAGACTAAAAAATATGAAGTCAGTATCCACCCTGGCAAGTAATAATGCGGTGGAATATGTCAGACGCGATGATGAGGAATATTTTCAGAAACTACGATTTGTTGTTGGAAAGCCGTGGGAATTCTCAAAAAGGCACAAAGAGCTTCAGAATCAGCTTCGATGGCACCCTGATCTATACCTACGACAGAGAAAAAGTAATTTGTGATCGATATTGATCCTTCTTTATATGTCATGTATTTGTACAAAGTGGATAGATTGTTAAAATCTAATATCATCAGGCAACCATCTTTGCATTTGACAGTTAAAGGTTTGTCACAATGTACAGTATCATTATTTTTCAAGTAGTACTTCACAAACCTTTCGCAAAAATATGATAACTCGTTAGTTACACAGTATTTACTAGACAGTATTTTTGCTCAAAATTAACTACAAAAAGCATTGACTGGTACTGATCATCACATGACTTATTAGTCTGACAGAAAAAAGGAGAGAAGGGTAAAGATTACTGTAGGTTACACATGTACAGGACCACTGTAGATCTTACGATGGTGGGCATCAAGATTCCTCTGGAATCTCTTGTTTAAAAATATCAAACTTCATTTAAATGTATACATGTACAATGATTGAGTATTGAAAAACCTTTTGCATTATTTCATTTCAAAAATATTTTGATTGATTTTTTTAAGTTGGACAGCAAGCATTATATACATAGTTTAACATAAATACTTCTCAGTCCTGTCCAAAACTATACAGTAGTTGTAATAAATCAATTGTAGCCAAGTTGAATGAAGACGTGTCAGACAGATGTATGGCAGAGCTGATGGGGACCAACTCTTACTCCAAACGGACATGTGAGATTAGTGACTTCTGTATCCAGATGATGACCACGACCGGCCTGTCTGGCTACGGAATTACCCACCAGCTGCTCTGGACTGTACTGGCGGAACAGGTCAGATGCTCACAGTTGTTTTCTTGTTGTGGAACTAGCTTTTGGCAATCATGCTAGCGCTGTGATCATGAATGTTCCACACTATGTCGCAGGTCATACCTTATTTTACTTTCGCACATGATCTGTCAGTAGGTCACTGTGACCTATATTTTGGCATCTGATCTCAATCAATAAAAACAGGAAATTTGCTTTTTTAATGCATTACATTTTTCGTGTTTTATGCTTTAAACATGTAATAGATAGAAAATTTAATGGTGTCTTCACCATTAAATATCCTCTATGTATCCAATGCTTTGTACTGTGTCAAACTGATTTAGACATGAAAGATATGTTTCTGTGTTTCATACAGCTTTCTGTAACAATACTGTACATCGATTACAGATCTCGAAAGAAATACCACATATTTTCTTTTAAGTAGTATTAAATGCATAAAATTAAATTTCCTGACCCCTGTCATCAAACTTTAAGGATATTGCGATGTTCCCTATTGAACAGTTTCAGAAAAATAAGTCCTAAATTATATTTTTCCAGCACGGTTGTGGGTCGACCCTGAACAAGATGTTGACAGAGAAAGGACTGAGATCACTAGAGGACTATAGGGAGGAGTTTTGTGCCAACAATTTTTATGAGATGACTGATTTTATCAACATACATCTCCATGGTATCATCTCACCAAAGTTCCAAGATCTATTTTTGGAACAGCGTATGTATTTCCTTCGACTGAAAACAGCACTTCAGTATTTATAAACAACACCAATTCTCGTGAAAAATTAGCAGGAAGTTAAGACTAGAAAAACAATTTGTATTGTCATGAGCTGTGTGTGGATAAGGCAATATTCTTCTAGAAATATATTAAAATTTGTACAATTTATTCATGTAAACTGAAATTTATTTCTCCAAGATTAATCATGTTCTTTTTAGAGAGAATATACAAGCAAATATTTTCTTCATTTTATGTTGGTAAATATTTTATTTTCCTAAACTGAAGAAAAATAATTCATATAAGAATACCATCTTTTTATATTGTGTGACGGAAATATTTAGCAAGGGAAATATAATTTTCCATTGAGGAAATAATTGTTTTATTTTGATATCATGTGATTTAAGAATATTAGTCATTCAGGTGCTATCCTTAATACTCCAGGGGGTACACTCACTTTCGCTCTCTGCACTCCTGGAATATGTCATTGCAAAATTTAAAATTGAAGGCACACCACCAGCTATTTGATTGGTCTCGGGTAAAAACAACAACCTGATCAATCCCTAAGGCTGATACCAGTCCTTTGAAGATTACAGAGGAATGACACCCGACTTCAAAGCCAGTCAATTTTACCATATATATGTGATTGCGAGATTCTTTTGATGTACATCAAAGGATCAAACTACCGGTAGTCTTCTGTCTCATCAACATGGTGGTGCACACCGAGTCTTCAGTTTTGCTATGACATATTCCAGGGGTGTAGAGAGCAAAATGAGTGTAACCCCTGGATTATCAAGGATGATCAGGTGCATGATATAAAATAAACAAACAAAAATCTTAAAAGAAAATATTTTTTTTTTATCTAATTGTCTTAGGTGATTACCTTGGTTACCTAACCCTAGGTGTAATTTGAAACACTATCTCCAAAAAATATATATATTACATTGCTTTATTTTGTATTGTTTTTTCAGAGTTTGTGTGTCCTAGTCTAGGATATTACCAGTTTTTGTCGTATTCCTATCTTGACCAGATATTTGTATGGCAAAAACCACTAGGATGTTATGGTGTAATGGAACGACTAAAGCCTGAAGATCAGATGGGAAGTAAACGCAGCAAAGAATTAAGTGATCTGAGTGCAGAGTACGCATATGATGATGACATGGAAAACTATAATTTGAACGAACCTTTGAATGTTCAAAACATCAACAACTCTGATCCTCTCCTTGCTAAAAGTAACAACCAACACACAGTAAACCAGATGAAGGGAAGTGGTCCTGTGAAAAGTTTCGATGACACAGCTTTTAATAGCAAAAACGTGTCTGGTTTTTTAAAACGTGTTGATATAGAAAGACAGAGATCAGCTGATATCAAACCAATGGTTCCCAAGGCACTGGTAGAACAGAACAGTAATGTCGTCATACAGCGAGGGAACGGTCTCATCGGGAAATTTACACCGGCTGTGAGGAACGCCGCCTCACATTCAGTGATTGACACAGGAAAACATTTAGTTGGCAATGTTATCCAGATGAACTCACAAAAGGTGGATTCAGGGGTCAATGATAATAATCAGAAAGGACCAAATGTACAGGGATCACACACAAAACAGTCAGACTTAGGGGGGCAGAGACAAACTGTGGACAGGGCGTCTAGAACTCTCAATATCAGCAATGTTAATACTTACACTGCGGCTAGAAACCAAATACCTAATCAAAACTCAGCATTAAATCAAAGGATTCCTAATCAGAGTGCACAAGTTATTCCTAGGGGCGGAGTAGACAAGACAGAAAATCAAATTGGACAGCAGCCGCGACTCCTAGACCTGGGACACAAAGGGGAGGTGATTCGCAACATTGGACGACGTCTCTTGGCAGAAAAGGCAATGAAAGGTATGTTTGTCACATTGAGTTATTTGATGTACATAATTCACTGAAAGGGTTATAGGTTTATTTCTAGCTCACTTGGCCATGGCCAGTTGGGATATCTAAGGTTTAATACATCCTCCCCCATCCCTGGCCAAACAGGGGAAGTAAAGGTAATTCCTGTATATCTATATAAATTCCTACTTCCTCTGTACAGTGTATTAGTGAGGAGATTATAACCAAATTTCCTCTTGAATATTCTTTGGCTTAGCAAACCCTTCCTATTAATATAAAGAGCTCTATGGGGCCCAAGGGTTGGAGCTGAAAATCTGAGTTGAGGACATTTTTGCTCCAAAGACCTACTAGCTATATATAGAGATATGCATAGGCTGTCACCAAATTTAATTTGAAATATCACTGACACAGGGAGATCAGATTTCATATAAATGTAGCTGATACATATGACTCCTGGTACTGGAGGGTTGAGGTCACAATAATGAAATATTTGGTGTACATTTGTAGAACTAGAATTTGTAAATGCACCCAGAATTGTCTCTTGTGACCAGCCCCACCCCATTGGATTAGCCTCTTTGTCTTTTTCTGGCACCTCAGACAGAGATATCCCACGTCATACTTCATGCTAGATTTTTCTATCTCGTCCGATCTGTCTTGTACCTTTAAGTGACATTTCGGGGATTTTTTACACTGCAATATTTATCCGCGCGTTAACTGCTTGAATTTGACAATTTGCATCATGAATGTTCTATTTTGTCCTTATATGTATAGTTTTGATGTTGTTAGATATTTGATGTTGTAGATAAAATATAATCTTCACTGTGAAATACGCTGTAATGTATGTAAGGACGGACTACGTTTTTACGCTGAAGCATTCAAATGTAGCTTAAGGTAATAGGATTGTGTCACCATTTCTCAGTAGAATTTCTTCAAATTTTGTAGTTATATTGCTTTAAAGTAAAGAAAATTTTCTGCCACAAAAAAAATATAGGTTGTCAGAATTTTAAGGATTTTAAATGGAAATTTATGTAAAAAGGAGTGAATTTTGAAAAAAAAATGAAAGACACAATATTTTTACAAAATAATGTCAATAAAAATGATACTGACATATATCAGTATTGCATTAANCTTGGAAGTAGCTAAGATCCTCACCAAAAACTACACATATTTTTTTCTGGGCATTTTATAAGAGATAAAGAGAACCATGCAACTAGAATCAGCTTCAGGGTACAGCCAAGCCCTAGGAGACTTTGTCCCAGCTGGGTCATAACATAGAATTGGTCAAGATTTCCACCCCATAAAATGTTTATATAAATAACGGCATGAAAAGACAAATTCATCATGCTGCCGGGGTTGGTTCAGTGGTCCTGTCTTATCCCTGCAGGTGACTTATATTTCCTGATTCATAACATTGAAACTTTTGAGACCCACACCTTATAACCATATACATGTAATTGCTCTAGGCATGAACAGATGAATACATTAATATAAATTCTACTAGGATTGGAATTAGGGTCCTCCCCAGCCATGGGGACTTCTATTTTAGTTCTGGGGTCACGCCTATAATAAATTCACATATAAACCAGTCTTCAAGCAAGACTAGTTCTCATACTCCAGACAATGAATCTATGATCCTGAAACAAATGAACTCTAATCTTGCTGAGAGTTTCCTAGTGAACATTGATTTCATGTGAACTTGAATCTTACGAAGAGTTCCTAGCCAACATATAGACCTGTATAGTGTGAACTTAAATCTACCTGGTACAATGATTGCCTGCCACACATTAACCTCATATGAACTAAATTAAATCTGATATAGGATTGTCTGGCCCACATTAGATTCATGTTGACTTAAATTTCATCTGATATAGAATTGTCTGGCTCAGATTAACCTCATGTGAACTTTGAATTTCAGAGGGTTGCCTGGCCCACAAGACTGCTGTGGCAGCGGGGGCACTGGTCATGTATCTACGTTACCTCATCGATCCTGGGCCCATGGACATACAGCGCAAAATAGTGGACCCCAGCCAGCACCGCTTCCTCATGAGCAGAGAGGTCTCAAAACGTCAGGCAAATGCTTCTCACCTGAATAAAGCTGAGGTTCAGGATAAGAGAGGTCTGGTTGGGGATGAACACTTGTTGAAATCATTTAGGTCGGGGCTAATCAATGCAGGTCACGCACTAAACGGCAATGTTCCCAAACTTGGTGTTGGAGAAGATTATGAGGATGGTCAGGAACCTAACAATCTTCTCAATGCTCAGTTGAATCTCAACAATGAAGACGGAGATGGAAATTATTATGCTCACGATGGAAATGACGAAGATGGCTATCATGAAGAGAAAAAAGAAGGTTTGAATGATGAAAGTAAAGATAAAAAACACATGTTGGTGCAGTTTGAAAATGGACCAGTAGTGAATGGTGAGGGTGGACATAAAGATTTACGTGATGGTTACGAGGAAGATGGTTACAGAGAGGATCATCCCAACAATGGAGGTGAGGACGGAGACTACGATGAAGAGAAAGCTCTGAATAATTTTAAGAATGATGTAAATCATATACAAATTGGTAGGAAACCAGTGATCCCAAAGGCAGATGAAACGGATTACACTTATTATGATGAGAAAGAGCAACACAATGGTTACAGTAACTTAAACAATGAGGGTGAGGCTGACGCTGCAGAATCTAAACAGAAAGTGCTCCCACCAGCTCAAGTTCTGGAGGATAAAGTTGAGAGTGTAAAAAATGAGGTCCTTCCTGCTGAGACTTTACCACATGTAAACCATGGTGCTAATCCCCCTAACACTTTATTTTTTGTGGTGTGTTGCAGCATGCTACTCGTGGTGTTCTTTATGTACAAGTTTATCAGATCGCGCCGAGTTCACATCCGCTACCATCCTCGACCCTTTGTTCGCTTATGATTGACATTTTACATAGACCGATGCCATTATTCAAATTATATGTATGTTGTATAAGATTGTTAAGTTTTTCAAATTGATGTACTTTTCATTTATTCTCTTTGTACATGACTGTACAGTAAAACCTTGATAGAATGTCCTTTTTCATGTTCAATGCCTATCTCCCTTAATATATATGGCCAAACCACTTCCTAATGCCAGAATTTCATTGACAAATTTGGTAATATAACAAGTTTTTTCCTGTAATGATCAATGTGATATTATAAAGAGTTTTGGAAAATGTCTCCAATAGTTCATATTAACATGTATTTTACTTGGGAAATGGGAGGTAACTTACAATTTAATTATGAAGTAGATAGAATATTGTGGTACTCTTCACAGATTCAACTTCTTGTTCATCAATGTGATCTCTGTGCCCACCCAGAATCATATATGTGTAATAAAAACATATTAACAAAATACACATGACTACATGCTCAAAATGTTATAGATAAATCTAAATTTAAGTTCAGATCTGTATCTCAGAATGTTAAAAAAGAAGACTTTCCACCGTCTGAGACAATGTCTAGGGGTAACTGTTGTACCTCATTTATTCCTGTAGTAACTTACCATACATGCATATTTATTAATTATATTAATGTTTACTTTTCTGAAAATCAAGTATTTTAATTTCAGAATTCCGCCAAAAATTAGGCAAATAATGAATGTTCCTTTGTACAAAGTGTATAAGCAAAAATGTGGTCGATTCAGGGCAACTTAATTTTGTTTTTGTCTCAGAATTCGCTTAACTTCACTTGTTCAAATGAATGGGTTAACTGTACAGTATAATTTCACATACTACAGAAACTTTTCATGTATCATGTATTTATTATAATCAGTGGAATATACAAATTTTACAGATTTAGCTTTTAAAAGTTAGTTTTATTTGTTTTAAATTATTTGTTGTATTTTTCCTTGATTTATTATTTTTGATTTCTACAAATATATATCTTAATATGTCGGTTACTATAGTATGTTAAAGTAAGGCTTGACTTTACTTGACTGGACTTACTGGTATGATAAAAGGTGTACCATATTCATATGTACAATGCTAGTATAAGCTATTTTATTCGAGGAAAATGTCATGTCCCATAGTTTCAGGAAATATCAATTAGTTGAGCTAAACGAGGAAATTTAAAAAAAAAAATTGTTAAGTTTTTTGCATGGTCTGACATGCTTAACAGTTAAAAAATTAGTTTTAAAGGATAGATACACTTCAATTCTTTTTAATTGTGTTCTCAATTAATTATGTTTTTTCATTTGTTCATCCTTTTGTTTTAGAAGGTTGTTAACGAAAAAAATTCATGTATTCCTAAATGGTTGATAAAAATAAACATTCCTTATTGCACTTATGTATACGTTTCAGCTCTAGCCTATAGTAAGTTAATGGAAATTATGCAAGAAAACATTTATAAGTGCATTATTTGTTGGAAAACAAGAAACTTGATCTGTCAAAATAATTAATTCAAAACATTTTACAAAATAAAAAAACAAGATCATAAGAGACTTTCTGTCGGTTACATAAGATTTACTACAGTGAAAATGTATACCTACCTCACAAGGTACATGTGTCTGATCTACGATGTGGAGGGTTTAATAATAGGGTTTCTGTGTTGAAACATTTCAGCATAGATCGTTCCTTTTATAGTTGTCAGATATTAGGGTGCTAGAAGCTTATGATTTGTTGTGTATTCTGTTATTTAATTCTTTTTTAGTTGAGATCATGATCATAATAATTAGTTACCAGGTAATGTTTTCGAGACTGCTCAGTATAATTATAAGTATTTTAAACTTTTTTTTAACCAGATATCTATATACATGTATAATATAGAGAGAGAACCACACTTTTTACTGTGTTCTGTCCAGCCTTTAGATCCTGACTGCTGGCATGTACTGTGTACAGCAACAAAGATCTTGGTCATGTGTAAATAACCGATGCATCATTTGAACACTGCATTTCAATGCTGATTTGTCGATAGCAGGCAAGAACAATAGTCATTACAGGGCGTTCAGTCATGGAAAGTGTCCCAGTATTCAATTGTAACATGTTTTGAAGAAACTACTGGGTAGTGCACATGATTATTTTAATTCTTCTTTATATTGATATATAAATAAGTTGTTCGTTTGGATAATCTATGCAAATATTGTCAATGCTGGATACTTACCTGGAGGAAGGTATTAGCTATACTGTACTAAGGAGGTACCGGTAACTGTATGACTGAGGGCATTGCGGCATGAGTGCTGGGTACTGGTATGTGTGTTATGTAATAATACATTGGAATATTTATTTTCTAAATCTATCCTACGATTCTTAGAGGATATGATTGATAAGTCACAATGACTACCCGGGTACATGTATTTACTTATGTTATTTTTGTTTTAAAAACAATGTTTTGTTAGAAGATTGTGTATACAAAAAGAATACCCTATTATATGTCATATTGACCTAGAAATTTCAACCTGAGGGTAAGATTTTTTTTATAGTTTAACACAAATCTTTGCTGAGTGTTAAACTTAAAATATCTGTCAACATTTTACACAAGAGTGATTGAATATCTTTCTCCCACGCTTTCACATAAAAAGAAATTGAAATTGTGAATTTAGTGTACCTTCATGAAGGGTGCATAAAATACGCGACAAAATTGATAAACGTTACCCTGGTCTTGCTGCATGAAGTAATGATGTGATGGTGTCACTTTCAGAATAATAGCTCATGTCAGCTGTACGATAATACATGTATCGCTGTAGAATGAGACAAAACGATAATACATGTAACATGGGAACAATATGTTGTCACTATGTGCTATCAGCAGGGGAGAATATATATATATATATATATACAAATAAGAGAAGTAAATGAATTAGAAGTGTTAATAAACAGTGTTTTAGAACATTCTATTGAAAGGATGAGAGGGAAAATTCCCTATTGTGAGGGTATGCTAGAGAAATCCCAACCCTCAAGAGGAGCATCTTTATTGTCAAACCCTTAGTTTGAAGCAAGCCTTGGGTAATTAGACAATCAAGAATGTACCCATTGGGTTTCGATTTTCCTTTGATACCTTCGATTTCATGGTAAGGGACAGTTCTATTTGTCCACTAAGTTGAGACAGAGATGTGTCGTGTATGTCTTTGGTTAAGCCTACCACTCATTGGATTTATTTGTTTCCAGTTTCAACTTTACATATAGGTATATATTTTATGTTTACCTTTGTTTTGTAATGGTGCTTTTATGATTAGGTGCAAGTTTTAATTTTGCTTATGTTATATATATTGATGGCTATAATATACATAACTGCAAGTTAAACTTACCTTAATGTCCATGTGTTGTGCTATATTCATAAAAAAACTGTATTTCTGAGTTATCTCCCCTGTCAGCCTTAATGTAGTTTCCACACATGCTATGCAGGGTGATTACAAACTGATGTTTCTGACATAGACAAATGACTTGATATACACTTGTGTTGAAATAAATGTCAAATATGAATGTATTTTGATATTCATTTATGATATTTGAGAAAAATCTTTAATTTGATGAAACTTAAATTAATAGGATTATTTAATTACCAATATTGTAAGGAGAAGCAGAAGGCAAACATGTTTATAAGAAACCTGTAGGTATACTGTCAAATTACTGACATGTTATTATGTGCTGAGCAGATGAACACTTATTGACGTTTTGGGGTTTGAGGCCATTAAGGGAGGCTACTCTGATAACCCTGTAAGTATTCATAGCAAGAGACTAAGAGCTTTGATTCATGACTAAACAAATCCTCGTTTATTGTAAATAGCAAGACTCGGTCAGTCATTCATAATTTGACTTTCATTTGCAACAAGTTTGGGATAATCTATCTCAAAATATTGTTTCTCATTAGTTTTACCTGCCCTTATTATAAAGTAGTGACTGGTGTTGAGTAATTAGCTCGCCTGGTCCGTAGGTCAACAATTTCTTCAAACGACTTCTTAACCACTGATTGGAATTTAACTAAATTTGACTGGAAGCATCCCTAGGTGGTGGGGATTCAAAATTGTACAAATTAAGGGTTAACCCCCTAGGGGGCTGAGGGGCGGGGCCAAAAGGGGACAATTTGGCTATATTGCTATAAACGACTTCTGTAGAACTATGGGCTGGATATCAATCATATTTGGTCAGAAGCATTCATGAGAGGCGGGTATTAAGAATTGTACTAATGATGGGGCTGAGGGGCGGGGCCAAAAGGGGACAGTTTGGCTATATTGCTATAAACAATTTTTCTGTAGAACTGTGCAATGGATATCAACCATATTTTACTGGAAGCATCCCTAGGTAGTGGGGATTCGAAATTGTACAAATGGTTGGGCTGAACCCCAAGGGGGCTGAGGTACGGGGCCAAAAAGAGTTATTTGGCTATATTGCTTTAAGCGACTTCTTCTCTACAACTTAAAGATGGACACCAACCATATTTAACTGAAGAATTCCCTAGATAATGGGGATTCAAAATTGTACAAATGTTGTGGTTGACTCCCCAGGGGGCTGAGGGGCGGGGCCAAAAGGGGGCAATTCGGCTAAATTGCTATGATGACTTCTTCTGTAGAACTATGTGTTGGATATCAATCATATTTGGTCAGAAGTATTCATGAGAGGCGGGCATTCAAAATTGTACAAATGGTGGGGCTGAACCTCCAGGGGGCTGAGGGGCGTGGCCCAAAAGGGTAATTTAGCTATATTGCTATAAATGACTTATGTAGAACTATGCACTGGATATCAATCATATTTGGTTGGAAGCATTCGTGGGAGGCAGGGATTCAAATTGTACAAGTAGTGGGGCTGACCCCCTTGGCTAAAGGGTGGGGCCAAAAATAGTTTATTGCTTGGAAATGACCATATCCTTGAAAAAATCTGTCATGAGATGATATTTGACCTTGAAATCCGTGAAAAAATCTGTGTCAGGTAATATTTGACCTTGACAAAGATGAAAAAATCTGTGTCATGAGATGATATTTGACTTTGAGATCCCTGAACAAATACCTGTCCTGAGATGATATTTGAGCTTGGGATTGGTGAACAAAGCTTACGTCTGTCAAGAGGTTATATTTTCCCTAGACATTAGTGAACAAATCTGTCATAAGGGGATATAAGACCCAGAGATCCTGTACAAATCTGCATGTTTTGTCTCATACTATTTTCAGCCTGTGTTTTGTTGTTGTTATCATATTTGTGTCTGGACAATTATTTTGTTTTGTTTACTTAGGACTGAACAAGATATACAGTCTTCACTTGAAGAGATATGCCCCTTTGTTAAGTCCCACCTGCCCCCAACGAAGTGGGGGACTTGCTAGTTTTTCTCATTTTTTTTTTTCAATCTACCGAAACAGCATTGTCCAGTGTGTTTCTCAGAAACTTATGCTCATACCTACATTTATATGAATGGTAACAAGGCATAACATCACCTTGAAGTAAGATGTTGAGATAGATGCCAAATGGACCGTTAGGCGTTTGGTCAAGGTACCAAGTAATATTATAGGGAATGACCCCAAGTGACCATAAGGGTAGGTTAAAGATCAAAGTGTTAGAGGTCAAATTCTACATCTTTCCTGTAAAATCAATCATAAAAAATTGATATCATAAAGACAAATTTTAGAATAAGGTAGGCACATTATCCTTCTGTAGTTTATACATTAGTAAGATCTAGTACTCGCTACAAATTTCTGGCTTTCTGGGTGCTTCTAGTAGTTAATGTCTCAAACAAACGTTTACTATAAAGCAAGGGTAATCATTATAACCATGTTCTCAAATATTGTTTTTAGGTCACCTGAGTTTTAGCTCAAGTGACCTATTGCTATCCGTTTTCGTCCGTCGTGCGTCGTCCGTTAACATTTTACATTTTCAACTTAAGCTGAAATACTGGCAAAGGGATTTCATTAATATTTCATGGGAAGGTTACTGACAAGTGTTGTTATTTTTCAGGTCGGTCAGAAATTCAAGATGGCCGACACGGCCGCCATTTTGAAAAACTATTTCAAACTTTAAGTCACATTTTGCTTGGCCGATTGAACTGAAACTATGTAGGAATGATCGACTCATGGTCCTGACAAAGTGTTGTTATTTTTCAGGTCGATCAGAAATACAATTTGGCTGCCAGACACCAGAAATGTTTAGTCTTGATATTAGACATGTAGCTTGTTGGGGATGGAGGGCTACAAAGTATGTTGACTTTGACCCATTTTCAAAGCAATAAGGGTCAAATGTGTCTACAAATACAACAGCTTCTTCTGAATAATTGTGTGACAATTTGTATTCCGTACCATGCTGGGAGAGTTAGAATCCTTTAATAGCAAGATCGTAATATTCAGTTACATAATTATCATCGCAATTGTATAGTTCATAGCTCAGTTCTTCAAATTTGACGGACGTATTATGGTATGGGGTTGTCCGTCCGTCCGGCGTAAACTTTTGTTTGTCCGGCAATCTCCTCCTACAGTTTTTGACGGATTTCTTTGAAACTTAGTAGGCTAAATAAACATGATATGTTGTTGTGCTTCCTTGAAAAGAATTTTGATTCAACAATATTTGCAAAAGTTATAGCATGTCAGCTAACCACTTTTAGAATGATGCATATCTTATCTCAATATAAGAAAGTATTTAACACTATATGTCACTCGACGGGCGTATATTGTTCCGCCCCGCGGTACTCTTGTTTACACTCTCGTACAAACCCTCCTCACACGGAGGTAACAATAAAAAAAAAAAAAAAAAAAAAAAAAATAAATTTTAGTTGATTTTTTCTATTTCGTACAAAAATTGTTAAACAGTCATTGCTTTCCCTACATTTGGTGTGAGATTGTGCCACATGTTAGCAGTTCTCTGTGCGAACGAATAATTTCAAATATTTAACCTCGAATGCTTTTCATAATTGTTTTAGTTGTAGCCTCAGGTGTTGGAACCTTCTTTAATGTAGAGAAGTAGACTTTTTTGTCATATTTTCCGGAAAATTATTTTACACACTGGTTTCGTAGTTCGACGTTGAATTTTTCAATTTCTGTCACATGTATTTTTAAGGGGCAGCAGACTTGATTTGCATTCTCAATGTGAGGCTTAACTAATAACAGTTTAAAACTATGGATGTTCATGTATTCTTCCCCTCGCAATACCCCCATTGTATGATTTACTTTTGAAACGTTTTCGCATATTTATTGATCAAATGCCTGTTCATCAGCTATGATGATTCCAGTATGTTTTTCCGAGTCCACGAATTGTATTGGTGGTAAACGTTCTTCCAGCATGTTATGGAATCTATCGATGTTTATGTTTCCCATTCGCATTATTTTACATTTGTTGGATGGAAGTATTGATGTCAGATTTCTGACCACTTTTGTAGTTTAAATATATGTATTCCTCTTTACATGTTTCGGCATACCTTCCGTCTGAGAAGATTTGCTTGTATGGTCGATCATGTCTGTCGTATGGAAAGACACCTGGTAACGGACGGATCTTTCAATAGACTGACGTATGATGAGAGCATGAGGAAATACCGTCATTTGTTATATCGGCCATTTACTAAATGATTCAGAGAAATGACAGACGGACGTACCCACAATTTTACTGAAACGGAAAGAGATTATTCGTCATATCGGAAACCTCACAAAAACACTCCTTGGTTGCCGAGAAAAAAAATGTTTCCAGGCTTTGTTAACTTAACATATCTGACCACTATGACCTTCAAAGTTGGTCAAAGTTATTGATTTGATAGCTACAGACGAAATAATTTACCAGTTCGTTTGAGGTTTTCAGCAAATAACACCCCAATTAAGAAAGGTCAACGCTATTTCTTTTCACAGACTTTGTAGCACACCGTGTTATTTCTACAGAAAAGCGCATTTGATTAATTTAGCAAATTTGAACCCTGCGATTATGAATATGAATATCTGACGCTTTGCACTTTTCCATGTTAGCAAGCTACGTATATACTGGCTAAATATTATGACTATATGCCCTTTTTGTTCTTCAAAAGCGGTCGTGTTACCCCTATTTTGTCTTGACACATTGTGACTTATTTTGCAAACTTCGTCAGGCATCATTCTTGAAAGATACTAGCAAAATAGTATGACCCTAAGCCCCACGGTTCTTAAAAAGAAGCAATTAATAGAAAAAGTTGGCGGACAATGGGCACATTCCCGTCAGCTCATGACAGGCACTGGTGTTTGAAATATCCGATGAGGTAAAAAAAACACCGGATTTTTTCAATGAAATACTAGGATGTTCACGTACACTCATAATAATAATAAGAAAACCCACCTGATTTTAATAAATATTAAACTAACATTTAACTTAATCTTCGAACTAAATACTACTCACGGGTATAGCTTTCGGCGGCTCTCCTGGTTGCCTTCTTCAGCCCTTACTGATATCAGTAGGGGCTTCAGACTAATCGGGTGATTCAGGCATGAGACCCGGGGATTATCCCAAAGTCATGTGACTTAATCAGGCTGGCATAGGTTGGAAGTAGG